AATCACAGTTGCCCTCAAAGTCACAGGGTAGGTTGTTAAATACACAGATGCCTAGGCTCCAGCCTACACCTGCTTGATGAGAATCTCTGGGCCACGGGTTTTGCAACCTCCCGCAGGTGGTACTGATGCACAGCCAGGATTGAGAAACCCAGACCCACAGGCCTCTGCTCTGAACGCGGGATGGGAGAGGCCGGGCTGGAGGTAGCGCTGTCTGTCCATCCGCCTCCCCTTTCAGAAAACTGCCTGCTAATCTGGCTCTAGGACAAGCACTGAGGTTAGGAGACTGGTCTCACCCCTGCCCTTGGGTTCACGGAGGTCCACGGAGATTGCCATTTAGGTGGATGTCTTTGTTTTAATTAGAGTAAAAAGTTGGTGGTCAGGGAGGGAGAACTCCTATGTGAGGACAAATTATGGAAGACTTTCCAGAGGAGGTCATGTCTGAGCTGGACCTTGAAGGATTCTGGAATGAGGAAGAGGAAGGAGGACAGTACAAAGGCTCCAGGAGAGAGTGAGAGGAAGCCCAGAGATTTCGACTTGATTCCTTAGGTCCGAGTTTGCAGGTGGGCAGGCAGGGGCCTGGGGCCGCAAAGCCCAAAGCCAAACCCGGCTTTGGGGGCTTGTTAAGTGAAATAGAGGGAGGAAGAGAAGCCCACAGTCCTGTTTCCTCTGGCCCACATGGTAGTATTTGGGGGTTTTTGTTTGTTTGCTTCAATTTGATTTAGTTGCCAACATTGGAAAATCTGGAGGATTCACATACAAATCCAGATTCCGGTTCTCTGGAAACTGGGCCCTCGTCCACCTCTGGCTGGCCCCCTCCTTTCCAGAGGGCGGGGCCCTACTGTTTGTCCAGCTCCCACCCCTTCCATTGTCCTGGGCTCTTCCAACCTCTGGTTTTGACCCCTTCTGAGGCGGATCCAAGCAGGCAGGGTGTGGCACCACCAGGATGGGCAGCATATTGGCTGAATTTTGGATTGTTAGCAGGTACTACAGTGGGGCCTTGACTTACGAGTGTCCCGACTAACGAGTTTTTTTGAGATACCTGCTGTCTCTCGGCTGATTTTTTGCATTGAGTTGATAGAGTAATTTCAGTTAACGAGCTCCTTAAGGAGCTCGGTCTCTGAACGAATTGAACTCGTAAGTCAAGGCCCCACTGTACTGAGATTTCCATTTTATGCACGGAGAACATGTGGCTTAGAGCAGGGGTAGGAGAAATGGGTGAACTTTTCTTTAATTAAAATAAATTGAATATAAAATAAACAACTAATTAAATTCTGCTCTCTCCTACCTCCCATGCCCAGGTATTTGTGGGGGCAGGGGAAGAAGGAGGAGGATAGGAGCTGAAAGGTTCAGTTCATAGCCAAGGGCACATATTTCCACCACTTCCTTAGAATTCCGGCCATTAGGGGGGGGGGGGGGGGAGTGGTGGAGAATTCTGGCCAGTGACTGAAGCTTGTTTCCTTGTGTGTTAGGACATGAGCAGGGCCGGGAGTGTGTGCAGTAGGTGCTTTGTACGCATTTTGTTTTAATGAAACCAGACAACCAAGGTGTCCAGGCTGCCTGTCACTACTTGAGCCAGTTCAGCAGAGACAGGGTTGAATCACATATGAACGTTTATTCCAATAACGACATGGGAGAGCAGCAGGCCACGCACAAACATCTGTTCTGCAACCCACCCCCCTCCCGTAAGCCAGCTGTTTGTATTGGGTAGGAGGACAGAGATTACATGGGGAAGTAGGGATTACAGGCCTGGGGAAGTCGGCTATGCAGTCTGGGGTGGGACTCCATTGTTTGTTTGGGTAACAAGGTGGTTAATCTTGGCAAGATAACAGGCAGTTCTTGAATGAGAATGGACCCCATTCCAAGGTTGACTCCCAGGTCCAAGGTTGACTCCCAGGTTCCCCGGGTGTGTGTGTGTGTGTGTGTGTACAGCTCCCAGCCAGGTTAGAATGTCCTTTAACCAGAACAAGGCAGTCACGGCTAACAGGGAGTGATTAGCATTTCCCACAACCATAGCTAGTCCCCAATATTCTATTTTTGCCCCTAACACTTACAGGGAAGGTGGACACTAACGGGAGAGGACCTGTGGGCCGAGGGGTGACATGGGGTTGTCATAGAGGCTGGGCAAATGCCAGACATCACAGGAGACCATGCCTTCAGCGGGGCCCCACCAGGGCACACAGATGCCAGGAGATCAGCCTGCTTATCCAGGCAGGCCCTGGAGGCCTTGGTCTGTGACCCCAGAGCCAGAGTGGCCTCTGCGTCCTCCCTGGTCGGGAAGGCAGTGTGAGGAGCTTGGGTTGCAGCAAGAGAGATTTAGGTTAGATAGTGAGGTGGCTTTCTCGATGGCCAGGGTTTCCAATAAGTGAAAAGGCTGCAGGTGACAGATTCTGGACTTGCAGGCTGGAGGGCTTGATGGTGGAGACTGGCGCGCGTGGAAGTGTTCTGATGAGGTGCCTGTGGGGTGTGGCGGGCGACGAGGAAACTGGAAGATCAAAGTCCCCTTTACAGCGGCGGGTGGGAGAGGTCGTGAATGT